TGTAAGCAATATTTTTTCATTTATATTAGCTACATCATTCAAATTGGAAAAGAATGAGATTTTTAACTGCTAATTTGAAAATATAGCTCTGAAACCTTTCTGAAAATAACCTTTTTAGATAATAAGAGCAAATTATTTTATAATTATGATTGAACGCCAGAACATTCGAGCTTTTCTTTAAAGTATGAACTCATTGTATCTATTTTTCACAGCACTGCACAGTCGAAAAGTAGGATTTTTTTTATTGTATATTCTTCTAATCTGAGTTCAAATACTACACTTAAAAAATGCGCTGTGAAATTTTCATTTATTGCGATTCTCAAATATTTATAAATAGTAAATTCCTTACGTGAATCTAGATTTTCCAAAAGAATCGAATGACAGTAACTTCCTTAGAAGTTCTGGAACACAGTTATGGTTGAGTATGTAATTTGTAAATCAATGTGTATCAATGTTTAAATAAGAAATAAATAAAAAGAAAGCTGAATAAACAAAAGTTCTGAATGTAATCGGAAATTCTTAATCGACTTTTCTGCTAAACCACGTGTACTTTTGGGCAACATCTGTGTTTACTTTTCTGTTATAAATATAGACTTGAAAGAACATTACCCATCTTCCCTTGAATAGAGGTTTCCAAACAAACGCCGTAGAAATTTTGGAATGGTAGAAAGGGAATCAGGGATGGGACTAAGAATTAAGAAATAAATTTTAGAAGTACCAGCGTAATTTTTCTCAAATACTGAAAAGATTAAAAACTTCAAAAGAAAGGATTATCACAGCATCGTTTCCAAGAACACTGTTTTTCCTAGTGTTCTGGATTTCTGAGGATCTTGTCGGTCCTTCCGTTTTGCATCAACATAAGATGTCAATGAGAATGAGACTTCCATATAAACAGAATCTTTCTACTTTCAAAATATTTTCTTAAAAATGGACCTTCTTTAACTGCTTTATATTTAATTTTATAAATTATTTATATATTAAAAATACAGCTTTTAAAATTAAAATTTTATATCTAAAAGCAAATAAATTTACTAAAAATTTGATTTATTGAAGAAAAGAATGTGTGATAGAGAGAAAAGAAGGAAAGGACGTTATCTCAGGTCAGTTAAAATTCATAATAGAAATTTGTTGTCATCTTTCTTCAGTAGTTTCCAAAAACTGGTATAATAAACAAAACGAAAAAACAGTTTAAAAGTCTTTTCAACTCTCATATTAATTATTTTTAGAAATAATGTAATGATTAAAATTTCAATTAACGAAATCGTTCCCTTAAAAGTAAAAAATTTTTGAAAGGTTCGCATTAATTTTCAGTTTCGATCAGAAAACTATTTCACACCTCATTTTTAAACGAGTTCTGTCCAATTTGGGAAAAGCAGATAATACTTAGGTAAATTTTTTGCAGCTTTGTAAAATGAGTATTTCAAAGCTGTTTAGGAGTTCAAGAAATTTATTTTAAAAATTTGTGAAATCAAGTTAACTTCCACTTCACCTTGAAGATCCATTTAAGGTAAGAAGGACGGGGAGAAATGAATTTCTCGGTTACAAACCATTAAAAATCTAGAAGTTGTCTAAAGTTAATTTTTAGATTTATCTAAAAGGACGTAATACAGAATATTTAACATTTGCCATATTTTCCTAACAGACCATTATTGTTAATATTCATGTGTTCTATTGATTAATTAATATATAATCATGTTCACGTTTGATTTTTTGATTCACGTTGCATTGATTTTTTTTCATTAATTGTGATCGTTCTAAGCAAATACATAAATCCTTTTTCTTATTCATTGAAAATTATGCATATTACTACGTTATTTAAAATTACTAATAAGTCATTCTGTGCTGCTGAAAAAAATTAGATGGACACGATTATCGTTTTTTACTTCTGTGCATGTTCGAAGCCGACTTAAGTATTATTTATTCGTATAAATTTCTGTTTATTAGGTGTAAAAATGCAGGTATGGATACTTCCAAATTACTAATCCTTTGATGAAATTAAGTCATAATTATGTATTCAAATAATTTTCTTTACTTCTTTATTTAGAAATGCATTGCATTAATTTCGTCTACTTCACAACTCGAAGCAATATGCTACCAATTATACCCAAAATTCTTATTAATTAACAATTATTTATTGTGCTTGTATATTTTAGACTTGCTAGAATCTTTTAAGGCGAACGATAATTGTTTTATAAGAAATCAAAGCAGGTCTCTTGTTCACATTCATAGCATGCAGTCATGAGTAAACTCTCATAACATTTATTAAGTTACACAACATTTCTGCCGTTTGAACAATTTAATACTTAATAATGACCATACACTTATTGACTGGTTATACCCTGTTTACTAATACACTTATGACTACCAATGCATTAGGTAAAATTACATTTCCTTTTTAATCCAAGATAGTTATTAAAAATATTCAATCCAAGAACACTTTTTTCTTGTTAATATATGAACATAACATTTTTAACTTGAGATTTTTCCTGAATTACCAGTGCCTCGATTTCTACGATTTGGACTGCACATGGTAATGCTTGCGAACATAAAGTTAAAGATCGCTCAACCAAAATGTTTTCTTATTTTACTTATTGCTTGCTTGATACAGGATAAATTTTTCAAAAATACACATGTTTTGAAAAAGAGGCGATATGAATGTTCATGAAACACTGAAAAGTCTTCAGCTATCATTTATACATTCTGAGCTGTATACGTTTAGAATTATTTAGTCATATGAGTATTGTCCTTAAACTTTGTCGGATTAAGTATTTTACTATACGCCTTCCTTGTGTCTGACATGCTTCTGAGCTCTATTTACGTACTTTATTGCATTAACACGACAACAATACTTTTGCTAGATCATCGTATTTAATTTCTATCCCCCTTATTTAACATCTTGCACAATGAAGGTTGGGTTTTGGAATCTTATTTGGTTAGAAACTACATAAGTGTAATTGCTGATTCGTAGTGATAGTGCAAGTTTTACTTGAATCCTAAAGAATACCAACAGCTAAAAATTAACTGAAGGAAATAAAAATCGGATATACCCTTGACAATCTGCAAAGGCATCTAAACGCTACTAGAAAAATATTAAGGAAGAAGGAAGACCATCTCGATACCTCGGTAGTAGAGAGAATACTCACCTGGTTGGTAGCACATCTAATTCCCAGCAAAAGAGGGGGACTTCATGAATTCAGTGATACGGAGCTCACCTGTAAGCTACGATGTCCCTGGTTTGAAAGCTCCATTAAATATTTTTATAAACCCTCATAAGCAACTCACCTGTGGGCTGGGAGGTCTGAGATACAATTCCTCATTCATTTACATACCTTGCATATTAAGCTGTCTTTTTGTTTCCTAAGGTATCCTTGCATTTAAGCTATTTTATGATTCCTTTAATTTTGCTTCGAATGTTTATTTTTTGCCAGATGTATCTCAAGAGGCTTAAAAATGTTTATTTTCTTAAACTTCAAACAATTACACAAAATGCATAGTACCGAATTAACTGCCATCATTTAAAAAAATGAATACGTTTGCAACATAGAACTCTGAGGAAAGTAAGATCTCCAGAAAATACAAAGAGCACTTAATGAAATTTGAAGGCACTCCTACCCCTCAAACTCAAATAGATAAAACTTTTATTCAGTGTTTTTAGTAATGCAGGGGAAGAGCGTTCCGCTGAAGAGAAAAATTCCTAGATTCAGTTTATAGTAGAAAAACTATATAAATTGAAAGAATTATATCGAATAAATAAGGGTAAAAGTTCTTAAATTAAAAAATTAATTAGAATTTGAGCACAAGTATTTCCAAACAAGTCTTTCACAATAGCCTTTTATTTTGGGGTGTATGTCACATTACGAACGTCATAGGTATACTCAAAAGTAAGATTGATGCATACAATGTGCTAGTGTATATCTATGAAAAAGAGAGATATACTTTGTGTGAAAACACAGAAAACCCATTATGAAACGGTTGATTATATGTTATGAAAGAAATTCACTAGGAGAAAAAGTATAATAAATTCTTTGCATGACTATGAACACATTGAACAGCTCGCAGACGTTTCACGATTACACTCACTTTCAGAAACAAAATCAGATTGATTTTAATTAATGCAGAAATAAATTTAATACCAGGCCTTTCGCTATTTAATTATCCCAGAACTACTCTAAACGCTACCGAAACAAGTAATTTCAACCCACTGTTATTCCCTTTAGCCGGCCATGATTACCGTAATCACTAAATATCATTCATAAACTAATCAAATTTTCTCAAAAACTTGTAGACTCAAAACCTTAATTTTTCTCTCTATTGTTTGTCATAATAAATATGGCCTGGTATTTGCTACATAAGCAGATGAAAAATTAAACTGTAAAACTCTTCAAACTAAACATGCAAAGTCCTCTTAATTTTTTTCCTACAAAAAATAGAATATTCCACGTTCTTTTTTGAAGAACTTAAATCTCGTTGCTTCTCTGTGTTAGCAGTCAATTCTTGCCGATTCTTGAAAACTGTCTATTTGAATGAATTTGGCAAAACATACATAATGAATGTAAGCATTTCTAAAAGAAATGCAGAATTTAAAATATAATCTAATCAATTCCATTCAATCCTCAGATTTCTGAGAACAGTTCCATTTCATTTACGATAACAGCAGTTTATTTTTTTAAAAAGCTTAATTTTTTTAAAAAATTCAACTTCTTTTAATAAATGAATATATATTTTATTAAAAATGTTTTAAAATATATATAATCATATTTTTCAGGTTACGTACAAAAAAAAATTGCAACGCATTAGTATGCGCTAAATTTAAAATAAGAAAGCTTTATGCATTGTTCACATTGGAATAATTTTTACTTCATGCCATGCATTTCAAAATTAATGAAAGAAATAAATACAAGATTTCTTCCCAAAAATATTAAGCTATTTCTACGTTTGTATTTTGTTAACATTTTCTCAGCCGAAATCGATTAAAGCAATTCTAAGAAAAATTAACATACCACAACAACCGGTCTTTTCAACATCAGCCATAGTTAAGAATAGAGAGAAGTTCTCTGAGCTAGACACTAGTACGTAAATAAAGCGAAGAGAGGGATGAATTGTACCACAGCACCGGCTTTTCGCCTTTTATACGCAGACGCCGAAACCGTGTGCAAAGAGTTCCGACTATTACACCAAAGACGTAGTGTGACGTCACGCACTTCCGTTCTCTATCTTTGTTTACTTTTTATGTTATTGTTCTTTTTATTTTTTCTCAAATCACGTGGCAGCAGTGGTTGGACTTGAGATGCCCATCCACAATGAATCACGATAGAACCTTAAGGTTAATCTCACTGAATTAAAACTTAACGAAGTGTGGTTTTTAACTGAGTTTATAATGTGCAATTTTTTTTATGACGTATAACCTTTGAACTATCTCATACCTAAAAGGAAGTCATAAACTTTACATATAATCTGTAGATTTTCCACTTTCTGAGTGTTTGGAAATCTTTAAAACCAAATATGCCGCTTCTATTTGTCTCTCTTAGCTATGCAAGACTTTTATCTCTTGGTCGAAAATAAACAGGACTTTTCCTCCAAGGAAGTGTATAAACTTTGATCTGCTTCATATACACTAGATCCCAGATCCATTTTGATTATTTGCAATGGGAATATCTGTCCTATTCATCACTTTTTCAGAAATTTGTTTATTCGCAAATTCCGGCTTTAAAATGGCTTTGAATCTAAAAGGTGATATAAATTATAAATCTTACAAGTAGATTTTTATCTACTTCTGAAATTTAAATTCACAATAGATGTTAATCTGAATTGGAAGTACTTTTGAGAAGACTACGGAAAATTTTAATTTCAGAATATTCATAAATAAATTAGTATGTATTGAACCAAATAAACGTTCACGCTCTGCTTCTTTAGAATATTGTATGCTGTTTTATTTCCAACTGTAATTGGGAGACCTTCGAATTAAAGACCAAAAAATTACGTTGGCAGAGGTTGAGCAAGACAATTTCTGTTTTGCTTTACTATATACATTACTTACAAAGTTTCTGTCAATGATTAAAAATACCACGATGAAATGAAAATTTATCACAGGAAGAAATAGTGAAAAAACTTTTTTTCTATTTCTAAAGGAATCCCAAAAATAAAGAATTTCATTTCATTTCTTGAATATGAAAGTTTATCCATGAACTTCAAATTGCATTATAAAATTAAACAGCATTTTTTGCACATCATTTTAAGAAAGCGGTGGCAAACTTTGCGCCGCATGTGGCCTTTGGATTCCTTTTCTATGACCCACGGCTAAGGGTAAAAAACTATTATTAATCAGTGTGTACTTCCTGGACCATTTTTCTTGTCTTTTTTTTTTTTTTATATATATATATATATCGTTTTTTGATAGCATACAGAACACGAAGGGCAATACGTAGAAAGACCAGTGTACAAACAGATTTCTGGCAGCTTACAGCTGAAAGCTGATAAATTTTTTGCTTTGCAAGAATGCTCACATTGTTTTCATTAACAAGTATCACACTTTAAAAACGTACATGTTTTGCTTGATAATCAAACAAATTTATTAGGGTTTAGGTTTATTTGATTTGTAATGTGTGAAACAAGAAGCCTGTTTCGGCGCTCGACACATTTGTATCGCAGAATTTATTCAATACATTGGGTATTTTAATTTAAAATAAGAGACTCGCTACTCTTTCTATCACTTGAAGTAATTATGCGATTATTAATAGAGCTAATTTCAATATAATATTTAGGGACATGCTTGAAATATTACAAGAATAACAACATAACGTACTGCAATGGGCCCACTTGTTAAATGTATGTTGCAATTCGCTCCTTAACCGATTCACTTTACTGAACGAACGAAGAGTGATCCATCAGAAAAAAAGCGGTAGCTCTCTTAGAGTTCATCCAACGAAAGCTCTTCTGGGAAGCATGCAAAAAAAGTTCGATTTCCATCTTAGGGAAATAAGGAATGCTTATCCTCCCACATTGAAAGTGAGTTTAATTTTTTAATGCTTTCCAAACTCTGTAAACATTTTTTCATTTTAGAATTTTAATGTTAGTTCTATGTAGAAAGAAGGTTTTAGAGAATCTGAACACTACAATTAAGCGAAATTAATCCAGGGAATTAGCTGTTCGACTGTGTCGATTTTTCCTATTCCTCTTTTTTTGACTCTTTCCGCTCTTTTTTTCCGCTCTTCGCTCCATCCTTGCACTCAGTTCTTACCTTCCTCCTCCTTCCCAGTCTTACCCGTCAAGGTTATTGCTAGTGAGCGGTAAGTCATTAAAAGAACTTATTCACATTAGTGAACGAGCGGTTCTGATCTGAGCCCATAAAAAGGCCAGTTGTCCACTTCTACAACCGGTGGCCCAGCGCTGAACACTGGTAGCTTGATACATATTTAAATACCAGTAAATAGGCTAACTATATAGGAGTTTTCGGGAATTTCTCATGTGTAACAGAAAAAAGAATCAGTTTCCGTTAAAACGCCTTCCACGAACGCCTCCTTTCTCTTAGCCAAATAGTTCTTGTATGCATTGCCGTAATCATATTTTTACTATTTCGCTTAAGTTTACTAAAACATCAGTTAAAATTTACCATTATGAAAAATTACTGTAATATTCTGAAAGAAGAATATATATATTATCATCAGAATGTGACACTCAGTTAATGAAGTGAGTAACTGGGGTTGGTAAGGTAGCCATTCGCCTGGCTGGACGCAGCATTGTTACAAACCTATAATTGGTTTACATGGTTTGGTTTATTTAATTATGGCAAAGCACTTGAGGGCTAACTACCTAAGGAGAGGGATGCCATCGTGAAGAACGTTCTAAGGGAAACTGGCTTGCATACCTTTTACACATAGGAAAACCAAGAAAACGCTCAAGTGGTCCGCCGGTTCGCCGTAATCTAACCCAAGTCTTAACTATACAACCGTTCAGCGACTTTACCGCTTCGCCGCTGATGAGGATAGTTTGCTTAGAAAATTTTGTGAAACGAAGTACACTTGTAATTAAAAGCTTAAGACATATTTTCAGCTTTGTCTGAATTATCATAAATAATAATAAAATAAACTGCGTGTTGTAAAATATTAAATAAATAAATAAAAGCATAATTTGCTTATTAAATAAATAGTTCGAAGCAAAATGATTTATGAGTCTAGATCCCAGCAGTAACATCTTATTTCTTTTCTGTCTCCTGATGTTATTTTAAAATAAATATAAAAAGCAATTTATTTTAGAACTGTCTGATACAAATATAAACATGCACCAGTTACGTTCCGAAACCATCTACCGCTTATAAAATGAGCTATGCATGTTGTTATTTGTTTATCAAACGACACCACAGCTGCCATTTAGTCCAGAAGACCCGCAGTTAAGTAAAGGACCAGATCTTCAGAGTAATATGATAATAGCCCTAGATATAGCATTCTAAAAAATTAATTTATGTACATCAGTATTATTGAATACGTGGCAAGCAATACATCTATAAAATACATTCATTTCATACATCTATAAAATACACTAAGCGATTCTACAAAGTGGTGAATCTGAAAATCGAGGAAAAATTAAATTTTACTCGAGTGCTACGAAACATGTGTTGACATGTATCCTGCATGTCAGTGGTCTCAAACTGGCGGCCCGCGATTTTCAATTCGGTAATTGTTGCGAAATTTCAAGATTTGAATTATTTGGAAACTGAGTTTACATTATTTTCATTACCTTTGAAAACTTAAATAAAGCATCAGAAAATCTATAAACTCAGATAATTAATTTACAATGTGACAGAAATGCTATATAAAGATCTGAAGATATAGAATTGATTAATTTTATACGTACTTATCAGAAAATAAGTATCTCATTTATGAGGTTTTGCATTATGAATAATCGCTTTGTTTGGAAATATATTTAGTTGTGGACAGCTTTTTATCACAGTTAAAAATTAATAAGAAAATAATCTTATTGACCGAGGAGCATCTACAATCCGAGATGAAAAAAAATTTCTAGTAATGTTTCTCCAGTGCACGGCCATTAAAAAAAAATTCTGTATTTACGTTACAAAATTTATAATTATTTACATACAGACATACGTATTTTAATTAACGTACAGAAGAAAAATTTAATAGATATGGGAAAGAGACCAAATTATTATTATCTATTCTCAAGTTTTGTCCCGCTTAGAAATGTTTCTCTAAAAATTTATAAGGCGCTCGCAATTTGTTTATTTTTAATTTAAATTAAGGTCATTTAATGATTAATTAAACATGTTAAAATTATTGTAAAAAAATTTTGGTCTTAAAATTTAATGTTTAGCTGTCAATATATTTGAATTACAAAGTGTAACCAATAAAAATGTCTTTCAGGTACCAAACTTTAGATTTCAGATAGAAAATATCTATAAATATAATTTTTTTCCTCTGCGTTATTATTACTACTATTTTTTATGTATGTTTTGATAAATGTTTTGTAAGGGAAATTTTAAATTTAGATAAAGTATTTTTTTCATTTTGTTGATAAAGATTTTCACTTTGTATTAAAAAAAAATCTGATTTCAGATCGTGGTTTGGGCCGCATGCAGTTTGAGTTTGAGGCCTTTGCTCTGTGTTATTCAATCTAACTTAAATATATACGTTTTGTTGTGTATAATGCTAATCCAAATTAGTTTTGAAATACATTAGCATATTTCCTGTCTGCATGACTTTATACAGTTTTAACATAATGTTATTTCCATAAGTCATATTTTCCGCAGAGAATTTCTCTATATTTCCATTATATCATTAAATTTTTGCATGCACAATTTTAACAATTTTAACTGCATGTAATGGAAATCGCTGTAATAAATTATATTTACCACTTTTTCCTTCAATATACATGCATGTTCATTCATATTTTGAACAACGTTTTGCCGCGAAACTCAACTACTTAGTTACAGAGGAATACCAGGATAATGTGAGTGTCTTTTCACAGAATGCGGAAATAACGAAACAATTACACGCTTCGAAATACATTTTGAACTAAATGACTACCCCCTCCCCCCCCAAAAAAAACTATAGAAATAAAAAGAATAGTAATGAAGAAATAAGTAAACTTGAATAGCAAACATATTTTTATATGTAAAAATAAAATTAACTTTATTGGGCGTTTGTA